CGGTACCTTGTATAACTTGGTGTTTAATTCTTGCTCAGTGTCTCCTACTTTGGCAATGAAAATTGTTACAGGCTTGCTTTCTAGTCCCAGTTCTTCAGCAAAGTGATCACTAATCATACTGACTTGGGCACCACTGTTATAAAACACGCTCGCCTTTCCGCACTTGTTGTTTGGACCTTATACTGTGGCAGAGATAATGGGTAGAACGGCTTCGCTGTTGTCTTGTATGAATCCAACAACATTTCTAGGATCAGGATCAGGACTTGTGTTTCCATGGAGAAGCCTGTGCTGAGGTTTCTTACAACTGGAACCGTCATGGGTTTTTTCCTGACATTCCTTTTTTCGCAGGCAGTTTGAGGCTGTATGACCTTTACTTCGCTTGAGACAACTAAAACATGCCTTCTGCGCCTTTACAATTTCCCATCGTTGCATGGGTGTCATGGATTTAAATTGAGTGCATTGGTCAACATAGTGGATGTCTTTGCAAACATAACATTGTGTCTTTGGGCTGTCCGACATTGGCGAGTTAGCATTGTTACCTTTATATGATCCTGAATATTGACGATTATTTCCACCACCTACAGCGTGGACACCATGTCGATAAGAACTGCTGCCTTTTCTGATTGTAGCACCCGAACGTAATCGCACAGTCATTTCTTCCATCCATGCCAATAAATTAGCTAGTGAAGGTTCCTTTTCTTGTACGTAAATATGGCGAGACCAGACTTTCAGATCATCAGGTGTCATTTTTTGCTCAATCAAAGAAATTATGTGGGTGTTGTCCGTATCTTGAGGCCGTTTTACTTCTTTCAGGATATTTTTTCTGTGTTGGTGTTATGTACTCAGGTGAATATGATGTCTGTGATGTTACTCTGAGTGTATATCCACACCGGGCAAGCTTGAAAAATATGCCTGGCCACGCGGTGGGAATCGAACCTACGACCTTTGGAATACTAGCCCAATGCTCTGCCAACTGAGCTAGCCGGTCAGGTCGGTTCGAGTATGTGATATTTCGGAACTGAGTCTAGTTCCTTCGATATCAATGCAATCTAGTAATCATGATTTTTTCTGTGTTGATGTTATGTACTCAGGTGAATATGATGTCTGTGATGTCACTCTGAGTGTATGTCCACACCGGGCAAGCTTGAAATATATGCCTGGCCACGCGGTGGGAACGAGGTTGACCAAATCACAAAATTAAAGCGATGATCATCGCCTGACTGTAGAGGTTTAAATTTCTCAAGGTCTGCAGTAATTGTATCCGAGATGATTCTAGGATCTCCATAGTTGTGGTCCAGGTATTTCCATGCAGTTTTGAGATCAGTTGTTATTCCTTCTATGAGCTTAGCTGGTTCAGGGCCCAAACATGACCGAAGAACAGTGATGGCATCTCTTTCGGAACAGTGATGTTCAATGCCATGTTGGAAATCAGACTTGAATATGAAATATTTTCTAACGTCTCCATAAAAGGTTGGCAATTTTGGTTTTTCATGCTTTACATGGAATTACTTTGAGGGCATTGTTACACGGGGAACATCTACTTCCCCCGTATTTCCAGTTTCAGTCGGCTGAGATTCACTTGAGAGTACATTGTCACTGGAAGGCTGAGTACTAGGCTGATTATTTATTTCAATGCTGGCTGCACTTCTTGATTTACTTCTGTCAGACTAGTCTTTAATTTGATATAATCATTGATGACAATAGAAAGCTGCGTGTACTAACTTGAACATTCATTTAACCAGGTCTCGGCTTCATCATATTCTTCATCATTCAAAAACATAGCGTATTCTTCATGTTTGACTATTAAAGCTGCATATGAATCCTTTATTCCCTTTAAAACATGCTCAATTTCCTGAACTGGCCGTTCAGCTCCAAGTAAAACCTTTGCAGTTCTAATAACTCGAGTTAACTTTCCTTTAGCGGCACGGCGAATATTCTTGGTCTTTTCCAATTGTTCCTTTGCCTCAGAAATTGTATAAACAAATATTATTCAAACATCGGCAACATAAATCCACATAAATTTTCACTTGTAAACCTTTGAAATACTGTAGCAAGGAAATCTTAAGATGATGTTTCCTTAGTTCAAGATTAGACACGACGACGAACGCAACATTTCAGGATTTTGATCAATTTAATAATATATAAATGTGATACCAGAATCTGAAGCTACAAAATACAAATATAGACAATGTTTACGATATAGATATAGAGAAATGTAGTTCAAAATGGCGAAAAATAGGTAAACGTACATTTGTCCGACTACATCCATCGTTTCTAACCTTTCTTCAACGATAAAAATTAAATAATTTGTTTCTTTACTTTAATTTCACTTCGTGCTGGCCGCCATCTTTGTTTTCGTTTATTTCGCCCCAGTCCTGTAGCGGCTTTAGCTTTCAAACGCAACAAACAAAACTTAACAAAACTTAACAAAACTTAACAAAACTTAACAAAACAAAACTTAAGAAAACTTAACAAAACTAACAAAACTTAACAAAACTAACAAAACTAACAAAACTTTACAAAACTAACAAAACTTAACAAAACGTAACAAAACTTAACAAAACTTAACAAAACTTAACAAAACTTAACAAAACTTAACAAAACTTAACAAAACTAACTAAACAAAACTTAACAAAACTTAACAAAACTAACAAAACTTAACAAAACTTTACAAAACTTTACAAAACTAACAAAACTTAACAAAACTTAACAAAACTTAACAAAACGTAGCAAAACTTAACAAAACTTAACCAAACTTAACAAAACTTTATAACAAAACTAACAAAACTTAACAAAACTTAACAAAACTTTACAAAACTTTACAAAACTTTACAAAACTTAACAAAACTTAACAAAACGTAACAAAACTTAACAAAACTTAACAAAACTTAACAAAACTTAACAAAACTTAACAAATCTTAACAAAACTTTACAAAACTTAACAAAACTTAACAAAACTTAATAAAACTTATTAAAACTTATTAAAACTTAGTAAAACTTAGTAAAAATTAGCAAAACTTAACAAAACTTAACAAAACTTAACAAATTAAAACGTAACAAAATTTAACAAAACTTAACAAAACTTTATTAACAAGGCGAACTAACTATAAGCACAACAAAATTTACACCTATGGGACAAACTGAAGGAAAAGCGGTTCACACGGATGAGATAAGTAAAAGCGCAAGAAATGGAAAATTTATTTTTCTTCCTGCTTATGCTTGTATTTTCGGCATGCGCCTGTTCACATTGTGCTTGTGCTTGTCACTGGAAAACATTTTGAAAATCCATAGAAGGTCATAGAATGGAAATTGTATGGACTTTTATTGGAAATTTATTTATTCCATGGTATGGATATAGTATGGAAATAGGATGGATATACTATGGATTTAGTTGTACAATTGCAAATTTCGTAGTATGGATTTCACTTTTTTTTTCCAGTGCATGTGGGTATAATTTTACGACTTGGTTTGCACACGGCAATCGTATGTATTGGAATGTATACCATATTAAGTTTGTTAGAAAGAAACGAGTTGTTTCGGTCACGATACTATACGGTTGGAGAAGGAAACGAGCCGAGAGAAAAAACCCATTAAAATATCTATTACTTACTTTGATGAGTTATGCATGCAACAGCCTGGTGCTAGGCGCAAAAATCTCAGAGAAGATCCACGGATGAAGACCTCATGCATAGATCAAGAGTTCGACATACAATTATGCAATTAACAACTCGAAAATTAAAAACTTACTTTGTGGCATACTTAATATATATTATGGACTTGCAAGTGTGTTAATGCGGTCTGTTCAACTTAAGTTGAATTACTGCTGAGAGATTTTTTCATATCTTACGCGGGGGAATCGACCCCAATGTCTCTGGAGTGCTGACTGGCTAAAGTACAACTAACCAAAACCGCCTGAACCAGAGTACTGGAGTGCATGCTCTTGGGTTAAAACAGACTATAGGACCTGTTTCGATTTTACTTAGATTAGGAGATTTTTTATGCATCCTTTTTGCTTGATTTCTTGTATAGGGGCTTTGGCGCGTTATGTGCAAAGAAAGCTGAGTTTGCTTGATATTTGGAGTGGTCCATTTGTTTCAACTCGTGATGAACTTCGCAAAGGAGTATCTCTCTGTGAACATTGGGTGACTGTATGTGAAACTCTAACATCTCATTTCTGGAAACGCTTTCCATTACATCCTTGGGAAGGTGACAAGCTTACACCAACTGTTACTGTACAGTTGGCGGCCAGGCTGGAAGAGGTACACGTATAATAAACATACTGTATTTATGTTGTTGTGGTAGCAAGCTTGTAATGTTCTACAGTATGTTCTGAGTTGCGAATGCATATCAAGCCTATGTCTTAGAAAACCTCTGAGTCCTGACTTAAATCGAACAATGTAACCTCCTGTAACATGTCTGGATCTTTGTTTATGAACTGCATTTCTACAGCATGTTATTTGTTGTTGCGCATGCTGGGTTGTAATGTTATATGAAACGAGCTGAGGTAATGAAAATGAACTGAAGATAACTTGCACTGAGGAAACTAGGCCTCATACATGTAACATATCTTACCCCGCACTTCGGATGAGGGCATTTTAACTTACTTGCAGAAATTAATGGTTGTGGACTTGTGGTGTTAGAACTCAGGTAAATTATTTTAGATGACGCTATATTCTAAGTGGTTCCACACCGGGCAAGCTGAAAATTGCTTGACCTCGGTGGGACTCGAACCCGCGACCTTTTGTTTGCTAGCCAAACGAGCTACAGTATGGTCAAGTCCATTTGGATCGAGTATCTAGGTGACACTTTGGGAGTCTAGTTCCTTCGATGTTTCTTCCTGAGTTATAATACCACTGAATCATTAGATTTACGATCATAAGATATTATTACAGATGTCAAAGGATTCGATATATTTACCTTAGTATACACCTTACATTGGCATTACCGTAAATATACATGAGCTTGCGGTTAGAGCTCGACAACTAGACTCTGTAGCTCAGTTGGTTAGAGTGCTGCACTGGAATCGCAGGGCGACAGGTTCGATTCCTACCAGAGGGCCTATAGTTGCATTTTTCGCACATTCCCAAATATTACGTACTTGAACCGACTTCAACCTTGTAGCTCAGTTGGTAGACCACTGGACTAGCAAGCCACCCCGCGGTCAAGCATTTTTCAGTTGAGCCACTCAGAGTACCATCATCTATGATATTTTCTAACATGTCTTTGTACTTATTGAAAGCAGTTTCTGTACGATCGCTACATCCCGATTTTCTTACCAGAATAGGTACTACCCATCATCACCAAAAATGTTAAAAATTTCTTCTCCTGCATTTTTAAGGTGGTAACATTACGAGCCGTTCACGAGCAGCTGACCCATTTACTCAGTGTAGCCGAGTGCCAACAACTGAAAACATCTGAAGCATTCTTACCCTTCTCTGGCCTCAATCCCCTTCATTACAATCCGTATACAGAACCTCTTTGGAGAGCTGCTGTTGTACAGTATGAAAAGGCTATGATGCCTGCTGAACAGAAAATTGCTGGCAAATTAAGAGATCAGTTTCGGCAGCTTTCGGCTCACTCTCATCAGGTGAGGTTTACATTTGTACATTTGAATCCTACTTATAGTTAATATATTAGTAACATTTTACGTGTCCACCTACTTTATAGTAAGGTGTATCGAAACATTTTGCATTTCTTACAAATCCTGCTTACATCCAGTGAGCTCTATATATGTATCTGGAGCAAGAATTCAGTCATTCGGCTTATGAATGAGAATAGTGAATTCAAGATGGCGAACATTGATGTCGAAAATCTAAAAGGTCTGCAGCACTGGAACTAACGTCCATTAGCTCCACCTTGGACATGAGTTCTCACTCCAGATATAGATGTATAGCTCACTGCTTACGCAGTGGAAAAATAATGGAACGTGAATATGACTCCTCGCAGAAAATGTTAAACAGTTGCAGGACCTTTTTAGATTGAAGATTTGCAACTTGAAAATTTGAAGGAAACCATATCACGTGTATATGTTCCACTACCGGCCCAACAACCTGTGGTTGACGTGCATCTTTCCGTAAATACAAAAAGCATGGCCAACTAGGATACTATGTTTATAGGCACAGACTTTTGCACAAAAAAATGCTCAGTTGGTTTGCTCCCAAGAAGAAAATTATTTTCTCCAGCCCTGGGAGTGGTTGTGAAATACACTAAAAATCTATTTTCAGATTACGATTATCAAATACTTGTAACTCGTCAGACGTATTGTACCCCCCCCTGTTTATTTCTATTAATAAACCTTGAATAACCTTTCCACTGCAATAAATAATCTTAAATAACTTTTCCACTTCAATAAAATCATCAAAAAGTATCTCTAGCTTTGAAACCAAAATGAAGCGAATATACTATTGAATTAATTTCAGCCATTGAATTAATTTTAAAACCATTGATAATTTATATAATATATTTATATAGTGCATGCACACGGCTTATTGGATGATCACCTTTTTCTCTTTCCTTTCTTTTTTATTTCTAATTAATATCATTGTAAATAAATAATCCGGTGAAATAGTCCAACAATAGGGATCAAATAGGAAAAGTCCTCTTCCGATTGGCAGTGCAGTTTAGATTGCACTAATGGTTACTTGTCTTGTATGCATATAGCTGTTGCGAGAGTTCCAACGTTACAAAGAATTGGTAAAAAGATCTAGTATTAAAAAAGAACTTGCACCTGAAAGGTATGTATTCTACTGTTTGGAATTTTGCACTATCTGGGGAATATGCGTCGACAGAGAATACTTTTTTTATTGCTGTAAAAAGCAATGGCCTGCCGATAGTTTGAAAACCGACAAAATGTTCTTGCAGAAAGCAAAATACGATTAAAAAACAAAACGTTGATATTAATTTTCCTTTGTTTTAAAGAGGACCATCACAACTCTCTCACTTATTTTGTTTTCCTACAAGATGATATTCGTTTTCTTTTATACATTTACATTAGCCCTTTCCATTGTGGAGCTTACTGGTTTTGCTATTGTATATATCATAGAATGGAAATTGTATGGACCTTTATTGGAAATAGAATGGATTTTGATTATCCATATAATAAGTGTATATTTCCATACTATGGATATAGTATCGAAATAGTATGGATATACTATGGATTTAGTGCACATGTAAGTGCAAATTTCATAGTGTGGATTTCACATTTTTTCCCAGTATCATATACTCTTGGCTCCGTATAGACTAGAAAATAAGTGTTGCAAGGATTTTATCTCGGTACTCTGTGTTTTAGGGAAACACTGCTTGGTCAATTGACAGTGCATATTAAAAGTATTCAAGAAGACTTTTCATCGAAAAGTGGAGGTTATTCTGGTAGTAGTTCTGAAGTTCCTAAAGGAAAGAATTTACCTGATGTTGTGAATAGTATTGTTTGGGTTAGCCAGCTTCAAGCAAAGGTATATTATTACTTAGGTCAGATGTAAAACATATTCATACAATGTCGTTATGAAAATGGTCAGATGTACGGTAGATGCAGATGTTGCTTATGTAGGATCATAGACAATCCAGAAGACAATGAGACAATGTCTTCTGGATTGTCTATGGTAGGATTGATGAAACCGAGAGTTAACACAGAGAGTTAAATCAATTAGCCTTTCTCACGATGATGAATAAAATAATATATATAATATTAGATGACGGGTGGCATCTAATTCTCGTTAACCATGCAATGCAGACAATTAAAAAAATGTGAAAAGCAATTTTTCAAAATAAACTAACCATTTACAAAGCAAATTTACCATTATTCGTCCACAGAATTATAAAACGTCGCTGTTATGTCGACTTATCTCGCAGACTTCGGCCAGAATGCCACCCAAAAATGGCGGCGTGAGAAAGGCTAATTGGCTAACAATTTCGGACAGTTGAAGGTTGTCGGAGTAGTATTTTTCAAGTGGAACTTTGAGCGCGCTTGTGCTGAAGTTTTGTGTGTTTACACCCGGTGGTTCGTCACTAAAATTCCGCTTCTAACCAGGCGGAAAATATTTCGCCCTAAACATTTAAAACAAAAAATTGACTTACTGTCGATGGAATGGAAGTGTTGATAAAATATTGCATGAATTCATTTCCTCAAGTTGATCAATCCATACGAATTCGAATTTTTACTTCCTGTGCGTTTCCTATTGGTCAATCGGTTCTGAAACGAAATCTAATTGGCTCATGATCTAAAAGTAACAGGAAGTTGATCAAACTGCCCATTCTTTCTTGTGTTGGATGTGTACAAAAAAGAGTTATCGTGCTAAATTGAATTCCCTCGCCTAAGAGAATATCGTAGAGTTTAGAGTATAGTAAGAGTAAAAGAATGTAACAAGTGAAAGAATGACAAAGGAAATCGAACCACAGAAATTAAGAAGACACACAAGATGTTATGAAAAATCGGACTTTAAACTCTCCGATTTAAATCTCCAGTATACTACATATACAGTTCACCACTATTCGGGCTTTTCTCAATATCGTGTTTGTTTAATACAGGGTTTTTTGCCATCTCACAACCCCTACTAAACCCCTCAACATTTGTTCAGTATATACTGTATTCGAATCTGAACAAAGATCCTTGCCCACTGAACAAAGATCCTTGCCCACGACTTTATGGCTGAAACGTTGCGCCTTTATCATTTGCTGTTGCTAGGTTACAGAAACGCTGAAGACGGCAGAGACACTTCTAGGAGATTTATCAGGTTTCCAGTCCTTTAAGAAACAAGCATCAGACCTTCATGACGAGTTAAAGTTGTATCAAAGAGAACAATTTGAGTCTTGGTCAAATGAAATCCAAAGTGCTATTGATAATCCAAATGACTCTCTGAGGTAAGGCCCAATAAATCGTAACATTTCTCTGGTGTGACAGTTACAAAGTAGCGTTACTTTGTCTAGCTTGGCAAGCGCATTTCTTTGGATTCCTGTATCTGAAACAAACGAGGGTTCAATCATTGCTGGAAGGTTTATAGTTATAGTTATAGTAATAATGGTGTGGTGCATGTACTCAGGTGAAGATATTTGAGGTGATACTACTTTTGAGTGTGTCCGTACTGGGCAAGCTGAAACGTTTGCTTGACTGCGGCGGAAATTGAACCCTCGATTTTTGTTTACTACTTCATGCACTGTTCTACCAACTGAGCTTCTAGGTCTCTCTCCTCTGCATGCAGTATTTACAAATAACTTACATGAAGTAAAATAAGCTGTATAGCCATGTACAAATATGACGCGTATTTGCGTATTTTCAATGTCGCGTATTTGCGAAGAAAAGTGTTCAAAATTACTTTGTTTTAACTTTATTTTGCAGTTTACACATTTAACCACCTTTCTAAATGTATATCTGGCGGTTGAGAAACACAAAATAATAGTTCAATATTGTCACTTTAAATACAATTATTATTCATTGATGCTGTAAAATTGACGCCATATTTATACAGCAATATACATGTAAGCAAACCTTACTGAACTTCAGACTTAATTTTATCTTTGGCATACCTTCTAAAATATCTTCATTTTAACATTATTCTACAGATAAAGCTTACTTTTTAAATATGAAGTATTAAAACGTATCAAAAATTTAAAAAATAATTCCGTATAGTCATAACCAAGTGGGAAAATATATTCATTAGTTTTGAGCGCGTGTTATGTAACATACAAAAGATTCTCCTTTTAATGTGTTTTAGTTTACAAACAAATGGGAGACTGATGGAGTTGAGTCATACAGATGGCAAACTGAAAGTACATTACAGCGAACGTCTTGTGACATTAATACGCGAGGTTCGTCAGCTTGCTGCTCTTGGTTTTCCCATTCCTGGTAAAATACAATCAACTGCCGATGTTGCGAACAAGTTCTATAGACATGGCGTAATTTTAAAACAGGTAAAGTGCTTTTGGTACGAGATATACAGTTCTTGTTCGTATTGTTAGTGTTTCGCCGCCACACATACATGTGCCCAAAATTTCTCCTCTATTCAATACACGCTTTCAGAAAGTACACCGTCATTGCATGGTCTTTTAAAGGTCTTTTTATTATTTCCCTGCATGTGATGTGATGTGCTAACCATGTCAGCAATCACGAAAATAAGTTGACGAAGTTAAGACCTTTACTAAAATTTGTACAAATGGGTTGATTTTGCAAACCTGGTTACCTTTAAAATCGCCACCTATACGCCAGGCTACATTACTGTAAAAATGGCTTGCGCACAAAAATGGAAGGTTTAAAACGTGGTTTGAATTGATAGCCATAGGAAGCAATTTTAAAATCTTCTTTACAGTATGTATAAACTATCAAAATACAAGACAACTTGATGTACATTAATTCCATAAACTACCCATATTCATATATACAAGGTGTATAAAAAAAGGTAATCGAACTTCGGCGCGCCATATTGCATCTGAATTACTCTGCGTATGACCGAGATTTTTTCATATTCGGAAAGATCAGGCTTTCAGCTGTTGCGTGATATGTTCTTCATGCCGAATGGATAAAAAATTAGCAAATTCAAGAAATTGTAAACTAAGGTGTTCGTCGCTTTGAGGGCCCTTTTCGAGTTGGGGGCCCGGAGCAAAGTGCTCTCGGCGGCCATGCTGGATGCATAAATGCACTTTATTTTTTGTTATATAGGTGGCTCATTTTTATAACACAATCGACCAACAAATGATTCCCAGTCAACAAGCAATGATGTTAGATTCTGCTCTTGCGTTTGAAAAGCTTGTCAAAAATCCTAAATCCAATTCCCGAAGTAGCGATAAAAAGACCCAAGTTACGTGGGACAATCCAACGGAACTGGAAAACTATATTAACAAGTTACAAAAGGCTGCTGATCGTTTAACAACAGAAAATAGGAGGCTGAGAAAATGTCACCAAGTTATTGGAGAAAAGGTACTACCAGGGATGTCCATAGCATAATTCAGACAGTAATCGAGGACAGCCCATATCGTTCCGTTTAGGATGTTTAGATGACCTAACCCCTACCAGTATTGCATCATGTTAAGTATCAAAAATCCCCGATCATCGCTTCGACTAATACAACTAAGGAATGTATTTTTATTAAATTATACTAGAGCCCTTAGGGTCTACGACGGCAACGTGACGACGAAGGCTAGTAACACAATGAAATTAATGATATTTAAGAAAAGAAATGAACAATTAAAATCCCACGGGAGATTTGTACGTTGTCGGTCGTCCATGGTCTGTTTATAACCGGTAAACCAGCGTCAATCATTACTGATTAACTTAGCTAACAGTTGTACAACCCTGTAAGTTCTTTAGAGTGCACCGTAATGGCTCGCAATTGTGAAGAACAACAAAACCACCTTACCTTATTAAATATTAACATAATAAACGAAATCTAACAACTTTTTCTCTTCCCTTCGGAGTGGTTCTACTGTATCTTCAAATGTCTTGCCAATGTGAGAACGCATTTAATGTCTTAGGTCCAACGTGCTGCCACCTTTTAGATTTAAGATTTGATTGTGCAACTATTATATGTATAATCCAATAACTCTCATATTTGCGTGTCGTAATAACGGCTGCAGTGCTTTTCAGGAATGAAACTCTGTAGAACTTTAAGCAAATTTACATAAACTTTGAGGCATATATGTTTTGAGGACTGAAATTTACAACGAGTGCAGAACAGGGATGTATATTGGCAACCTAAATTGAAACCCCATGCCATTATTTTCGTCAAACAATGTGCTGATTGAAGATGAGTAATGTATGCAATATGTGGTGTATATACTTACATATTACATGACAATATATATCAAATTGTCCCTCAAGGTTATCCAGTTGATGAGTATTGACTTATTAAGACAACAATCACGATGGAAGGAAGGCCTACTGGAAATCAGGCAGATTATTGCAAATCTTGTACAACAGGTATGACTGTGTGTCAATTGCGAATGTATTTTATTGATAATTGCATTATTGTTGTGGCCTTACGTTGAATGTAACACTTACAATGCAGTTGAGCCAACCAAGTGTTCCAATGAACTAACACAAAACAGTGGCTCACACTGTATACTAGAAATACATGCATGCAACAACTCCTCGCCTATATTTTCCAAACATTGTTTCAACATGAAGTATTCGTACGTAATTACGCCAACACTGAACGCAGGCTCGCGTTGCACGTCATGCATGTTAGTCATGGCAACACGAAATTGTTTTTTAATTTTTTGTACAACTGAACCGGGAAAAAATAGATGAAATTTGAACACTTTTAAATACAGAACTATAAATTTCTAAAATATATAAAGTAGGTATAATATTTTGGTTTTTATGGGCTTTATTTTAATGTAAAATTCAAAACGAAACTCTACGTAAAACGTTTTTAAATGTGAATTGAAATTAACTGCTTTTTGCCGATATTTATAAACTTTTCAACTCGAGCTTCAACTTATTACTCGCACATTGTCACTGAAATGAAACAAATTTAATTCGTACAGGACGCTAATGAAAATAATTTGCTTTCCTTTTTATCATGAACTTCTAGAAAAGTTAATTTAACTAAGAAACTTTCGCAAACAATGCATAGGAAAGACTTGAACATCAAGAACAAAGTCTATAGTATTAAATACAAGGTCATACATAAACAATTGAAACAGACTTGCCCTATATTTTAGGATTTATCATACAATATCAATTCTTATCAATGTTTACGTTTAAAAATTACAAAAAAGTTGTACAATTTGTTATGTGAAACGATTTTCCAAGCTTTCTTACATGTATTTTTTTATATTTTCTGCATTCTTCACTCCTGGCAAACAGCCATATTCTGAGATCAGTGATGACCACCCACTCAACACCGTTGGTGAGCGCCCGCGATATTTGATGAACTTTAAACTTCGCTAATGCTTTCGTTTCCCCGGGTGTAAATAGCCGGGGGGAATTAGTACCCTCGCATGGCGCTTCGCGCCGTCGGCTCGGGGATAATACTGTTCATGATGGATGTAGTACACGCGTAAAAACGCACAAATTCTAACAAACCTGCAGAAGACTTGTAGCAATGCCAACAACATGGTGTGTTCGCACTGCATGTTCCCGGCTTGTTGACAAGTTCTCAACGGCTTGTTTACAACTTACTACAAAGTTGTTGTGCTCAACAGACTTGTTACAAGTTGTTCAACAACTTGTTATCGTCCTGCAATTTAACAATTTCAATTTGTGAACAAGCTGTGAGTGACAACCTTGTAGTAAAATGATGAAGTAACAGCATTGTTACAACTTGTTGACAAGCTTGCTACAAGCCTCTTTCGAGCACATCTTGTATACTTTCGGCAAATTTGTAATAAGTTCAATTGAAGAATGCGAAGTGTTACTAACTAAGGCAACCATGCACAAATAACAAGAGTACTTTTTCCTTGAGTGGAAGGTATCTCATTTCTCTTATTATCATTAGGGTTTTAAAGCAGATAATATGAAACCGTGGAAGATGCATTGGGATCGTCAGTTGTATAAAGCATTGGAACACCAATATCAGTTGGGACTGGTAGCACTTAACCAAAATCTTCCTGAAATTAAGATTGAGCTCATATTCAAGTAAGAAAACTTGTTAAAGCATTACAGTACAAATAATGGGACATTAGATTAGAGATAGATCACGCAGATATGTACCACTAATGGTACATTAGATATATGCCATTAAACGTGTGTAACAGCAGCCGGACTTACTGTTGTTCCAATTGAAGTGTTCCTCAAATATTGATTCAATACATTACCTCACGGTGACCAATTCATTTCATCAAGTTCCTCGAGATATTCATACACTTCCTGTGAAAGAGCCAATTCCAAGAATTTGATCATTTCTGGTCACTTCCTTTCTATTTATGATTGGTTAGTTGCACAAACAACAAAGGTGATTGGTGCATTCAAACTATTCAACAGGAAGTTTACAATTATACTAGGAAGTGTATGAATATTTCGAGGAACTTGATGAAATGAATTGCTCAGCCCGAGGTAATGTATTGAATCAATATTTGAGGAACACTTCAATTGGAACGACAGTAAATCTTGGCCAGGGCTGAAAACGTTCCTCGTGCAGGGTTCCCTCTATAGCATATATTACTAACAATATTTCTGTCCGCGTTAGTATAGTTTAGGGAAATGATTTTCTTTGTGAATAGCATGCTGTGTGAACTTACATGTTGTCAGAGAATACTGTACGATAGAAATCCATTAGCTTTGATTTGTCATACTTCAACTCAAGGGCGGATTTTCAGTTTTTTAAAAGGAGGGGTGGAAAAATTTCTAGTGGGGGTGCAAGCGGCACTACTGAGCGAGCTTCGGCAGGGGTTAGGCGTTATGGTTAAAGACTTTCACACAAAATAAGAGGGGTGAAGGGAAATTTTGGCGTGGTTGAACACTTTATAAGAGGGGCTAGAGAGATTCTAGCGGGGTTAACCCCCTCCCCCAGTAAATCCGCCCATGCTTCAACTCTCACGAGAAAACCGCAACACTGGGTTGTCAACATAAGTTGACTCAAGCGGAATTCGCGAACTCGCATGTAAGCGCACGAGGTATAATTCTCGGGACTTATTAACTTGAACATTATTTCAGGCAACAGAAACTGCAATTTCGCCCGCCGTTTGAAGAAGTTCGTGCTAAATACTACCGAGAAATGAAAAAGTTCATATCGATTCCTTTACATTTCCGTGGAGTGAGTGACGACACGAGTATTTATCCTCCACTTATTGAACATCACGCCTCAGCGTTTTCGGTAGTGTATGCGAAAGCTGAAGAGCTGTTTACTCGGTTATCAAAAATACTGGATGACTTTAAGGACTGGGTTATACTTGGCGTGGTTGATATTGATGCAATGGTCGATGAACATCTTCAGTCCACAAGTGATTGGGAGAAAAATTTTAAGGCGCTTAAAGCTAAAGGAAGAGAAGCGGAAAAATTACCAGGGTACGTTTGTTTATGCTATAGGCTTGTCGGGGGTGAACACACATGTAAACCTTTGCAATAAAATCTTCGCAATGAAAACGGGCAATTTATGCTATCATGTAATCTGCAAGGAAGTGGAAGGAGTGGAGCGATTCATACATTATCGTAGAATAAATTCTGTACTGCGTGCAATGGGGCTTCGGTGGCGCGGTCGTCAGAGCAAGCGCCTTCTATCTCTGGGTTCGATCCTGGCTACGGATTCATATGAAAAGAGTCAGTCAACGCTCTGCTGAAATTCTTGGATTTTCTCCGGTTGCTCCGGTTTCCTCCCACAGGGAAAGTTGACAGGGTGGGTTAGGATAAGTATAGGTAATCACACGGGAAGGAGTGCAATTAATGATTAACACTACGAGTGATATTTGAAAAATGTGCCAAAATTGCACGAGCCGCCGAGGCGAGTGCAATTTGGCACATTTTTCAAATATCACGATTATTTATTTATTATATGCATGACAAAATCGCTTTCTTTACATTTCAATTGCATTTTGTCAAGAGTTTTTAATTCTTTTGTAAGCAATTTGGTATAAACAAACTTGGGAAATGATTACAAACTCATAAAGGCACATAACTTAAACTAGAACACAAGATTAAAACTCAAACAACATATTTTAGACTAAGAAAATCTTTATAAATTGTATTTCAAACTTACATAGTCACGTTTCGCTGCATCCCGCCAAGATTATTCCTTAAAACTGTGTCCAGATATTTTCCACAGGCTCTTTTTGCCATACAATGTTTTTTAAACTCATTCTTGTGCCAAAATTCAGTTAAATTCGTCCACATTTGTTAGAAATACTTATCTAAATTTCGCCGTCATATTCCATTTAGAAATACTTATCTAAATTTCGCCGTCATACTCCATTCGCGAAAATTATTAATTGCACTCCTGGAGAGTGCAATTAATGAAATAATTGCACTCCTCTGAACCAATCAGATTGCAGTAATTTTGTCATGTATATAATAAACGCAGTTGAGAAAGTAGTATGTCACAATTGTTGTAAGGATAAAATAATTACTTGATGTAAAGCGCATTTGATCATATCCACATGTCAATTTGCGCCATAGAAATGCTAATCGTAATGCCCTTGATGAGAGTCGATGAGGGTTGGAGGTCAAACGCGATTGTAGAGTTGAAAGTTTTATCAACTCCCATCCTTGTTGGATTGGGGCTATCTTACTTCTGTAATTGACGCAACCCTAGATGATGAAAAATACAAAACTCCAACGGATCCGATGAAACCAATGAACTTGTTCTTGTGAAAGATTATTAATTCCCCGATAAAAACAACAACGTATGCATGGTCCAAAACTATTTCAAGTAGACCAAATTATTTTTTTAGGTCTATTAAAGTGGACTGTATTACAGTTTCAACAGCGCCAGTGAAGACAACTATTGACGATCTCATTCAACAATTATTTGATGCGTTGCTCAATTCGTTGAGACGAAATATAGTTAATCATATACAGACAATTGATAATTTTGTCACTGAGGGGATGGAGTCTTTATCCACTAGACCACAAACCGTGGAGGAGATAGGTCTGGCGAATGCAAAGCATGAAGAGTTGAGCAAAAAGATCCCTGAAGTAAGTCTATGTGCGTAATTAAGATCTTGATTTTCGATTTGGTGGTTTCTGAGTGGTTCATAATTAATCTACACTGTCAGGTTGTTTTGTACCTCACGGACACTAGTAATCCAGTGTATAATTACCGATACTGCATGGACCCGACCGATTATGAGTATTGAGTTCCAGTGCATGTAGACAGAAACCCTGAATCTTTTAAATAAATAATATTAGTCGTTGTTTTACGGCTGTCCTTGCTATCAGAAATGGGTCGGTGGGCTTCAGTTCTCATATCCCAAACATCATGATTGCCACTGTTGAAATGATTGGCAACACGTCGTCAAGCCCTTTGCTTAAACATCTCGTTGTTTCTGCAATGTAATGCTACATTTGCTATATGATATACTTGTGAATTTACTGCAGATTTAGGTACAAAAATGTGGCATTAGGTGACGACGAATCTTGTTATAGGAAGCTATGGACTAAAGCTTCGCGGATATGCAGGGACGCCGGAACTGGGGGGCAGAGGGGGCGGCTGCCCCCCTTGCCTTTTGCTAGGGGGGGGGGCAGGGGGGGGGCAGAAGTGCCCTTTTAGTTGTAAAATACTACGTGATAAATCACATTTACAACGATGATTTCTGTCCGAAAATCATGAGATTCAGACAATTGATAGTTTATATTTGACTTTTGGTATGTCCGGAAAAAATTTTTGACCCCTAAAATGGTACACTGACCGAAATTTTTTTGGCAACGGGGGGGGGAGGTCGAAAATTTTCGAGTTAAACAAAATGTTCCGGAAGATTTTGAAGTTTTTCTTTATAGAGGTGCCCTTGGTGTGGGTCGGCGTCCCTGCGGATATGTTTCCTGTTACTTAATAGGACACTCTATCAGACATGTAGATAGAACCTTAAAATCTTACAGCAATACTAGTACTGATGCTTTGTTCGCCCTAAATTCCGTCAACCGCGTCCTACTGAACTAGTTTGCCAAATACTACTCTCCTTCATACAGTTACTGTTTGAGTTCAATTTGTGAGTAGATCAGTAGATTATATTTATAAAAGTCCATTTTTTCACTTATACATTTAAACTAGATTCATCCACTATTTGAAAAAGCGGAATCAAAGAACAAGTTACTGCGTTCAACAGCTGGTGAAGGAATTGATCAGATTGGCCAGTTGAAAGGAAGATGGGATAAATTTGAACTGATGATGGAAAGTCATGAACTGATGGTCAAAGAACAGGTATGCTTGCTTGAGTGTACACTCTGATTTGCGGCCAAGAAAAAGGTACAGAGAAACCAGGCTGTGATAATGAATGATTGCAGCTACAGACGAAATTTTGATCTAGAGACGAAGAACGAAATCCATTACCATGGCTGGAAAGAGCATCTTAAAATGAGTAAAATTGCAAAGTTTGGTTGCGAATTGTTGTAAAATGAGGAAACTATAGCCCTGTGAAGTTCGCAAATTTTGTATATATTTGCATTACGCCCGGAAAAATAACCATTTTTGAGCAGAAAGTGGTTATTTTACCGCGCGTAATACAATTATATAGGAAATTTGCGAACTGCACAGGGCTACAGTGTATATTTTCTTCATTTTACAACATTTAGCAACCAATCTTTGCAGTTTTACTCATTCTAAGATGCTCTTTCTAGTTGTGGTGTTGGATTTCGTTCTTCTTGCCTTGATCAAAATCTAGTCAATAACTGGAATCACCCATTCGAGATTTTTAGTCGTACTTGACTGGTACTTTAATACAACTATTGCCTCGCACTTGAGCTGGTACAAACTTAAGACTGAAGGTGTACTTAGTCTTTAAAATGTACAGGTTTCTAAAAGGTATTCATTCAGTAACCTGAAACTACAAGTTAGAACGAGAAGGACGACAATTATAGGCCCTCTGGCATGCGGCCCTGCGACTCCCGTGTATAACGCTCTAAGCAACCGAGCTACAGAGTGCAGTTGTCAAGCATTAGCCGCACGTCCATGCATATATAGCTATTTCAATTAAGGTTGTCCACGAGCAAAGCGGAAACGTCGAATACGAGCGCGAAAGGCTGCGCGTATTCGACTTTTCCGCTTTGCTCGTGGACAACCTTAATTGAAATAGCTTAATAGCTGTATACTAAGGTGATGCCCATAGATATAGGAGACCTAGATTGCTGACTCTAATGTTTTCTATAATGCACGCGCGTGACACTCATGAGCATTCAAAATGGCGGCTCAACCGGGCAAAAATCATAGAGCGAGATAGGGAAAAACCATGTTTTTTGCATTTTGCGTCGTCCTACAGCTTCCGATCCCGTTATATCACTTTATTTTGGAAAGAACTAACTGGTGTGAAGGTTTTGGATGAATATTTGTGCAATTTAAGTTTAATAAAGACGAAATAATCGATCGCTAAATGTTTTCTGAAATCGTCACAATGGTCGGTTGAGCAGTTCGAGACATTTTGTTGCAGAAAATAAAGGTTTTGGTTCTTTGGGTGCTTTTTTTCTCGAGGATCTCGGTTGGGATATTTAACAAGGAATAATTCTGTGAAGTATTTTGAAGTTAAAGCCTATTTTACTTGATTTATTTGGTCTGCTGGTGCGAAAATTCTGATGCTCTGTTTAGTGTGACTTTGACAACCTCCTTGCTGCTGCAGATGTCAAGGGATCTCAAGTCTATAGGGCCTGGACAGTGAAAAGTGATGAATCAATCAGGTTTGTAGAGAGAACTAGTGACAACGAAAGTTTTCAATGGAAACTAGTTTGAAGAAACTGCCTAATGTGTCTGGTATGCATCAAAAACCTTCACAGTTAGTATCTAGTTCTCTCCAAGAAACCTGATTGATTCATCATTGATAATCAAAAATAGATGGGACGGCATCTTCATTTAGATATTTCTTGGATTGGCATTTTATTGATTGCTCTCTGCATTCGGCATTCTTCCCTTTGGACACTCTCCCCTTGAGACAGCTGACCCAAGCATCAGCACTCTCCCCTTACGAGTAGAATTGTCTGGCGTAGCCAGAGTAAAATAATTAAGTAGGGCACAAAACGACTCAATGGGTTAACTATACACATTTGCAGGTAGGCCAGTTAACCCATTAAGTGCCACTGCTCTCCTCTTGATGAGTAAAATTGTCTGGCGTTAGACAGAGTAAAATAATAAAGTAGGGCACCTTGCAACACCATGGATTAATATAATCATCGGGTGTGAAGTATAATCATCCGGTGTGAAGTGTTTCTCACACAAGAATGAATATTTGATTGGCATTGAGTCTGCCCATTTCATTTTTTAGCAGGCTGGGATTGGTTATAGGAAATCCAATAGTGCAAAGGGAAAGATGTATTTTTGGTTCACTGATGTGAACAAAACTAAAACATTTTTGACTTTGAACAGGACAAGGAAAGTTGTTGTCAACATGCATATATAGAGAGAGAGACTCTCCTAACACAGACATCAAAACAAGAAGTTCTTTTTTGGTCTAATATTCTTTTATTAAAACTGTAAATAGTTTTATATTGTAGCTACCAAACTCAAAACTACATTTGTTGTGACGTTGTCATTACAGTATTTACAAAACAAATTCTTTTTATTCTATTATTATTCTGTTTATATGATGTAAGTTATAGACTTATAGTGTACAAATATGTGATGTGTATGTGTTTCATAGACTTACTTATGGAAGGAAAATCGAATAACATCCCACGTCTGTCTTGTAGTAATACACTGAACACGATTCTGGCCGACTTTCAAGCATTCTTTTCGATAAAAAAAAACCCAGATGGAATAGACGCCCTAGAATTTTCAGATGAAAATACTGTATTTTGGTCGAAATAACAATGAAAGAACAAAATAAACAGTAATAGCTTTTGGAATAGTTAGAAATATATAATATTACTTGAGAAAAACTCGTAAAAGACTGAAGGAATACACAGGAAGAAACTAAAGACGAAAACCGCGCGAAACTGCAGGCCTGCCCAATCTTGCCCGGTTGAATCGTAATTTGTATTAACCATGGTATAAAATTGTACTGATTGTACAAATTTTCATCCAAAACCTTCACACTAGTTAGTTCTTTCCAAAATAAAGTGATAGAACGCGATCGGAAGCTTTAGGACGACGCAAAATGCAAAAAACATGGTTTTTCCCTATCTCGCTCTGTGATTTTTGCCCTGTTGAGCCGCCATCTTGGATTTTCAAAATATGTCACGCCGGTTGAGCCGAGTCAGCAATCTAGGTCTCCTATATCTATGGTGATGCCATTGTAAGGTTTCTGAGTCAATAACAGGGTGTTGACCTTCTTACTCGATAGAACTAAATGTTGAGGACTTGAAGGGTTTTGTACAGGGCAGGAAAAAAGAATTTTCTTCCTGGAAGCGCAACCTGGAGACAAAAATTTCCTGCAGACCAACGGAGTATTTTTGTGCTAAATCTGCATAGTGTTCTAGCTGACCATGGTTTTAAATTCAAGGAATAATGTCTGTCAACCACATGTTGTTGCGCCCATTGTGGGATCTGGGTGTTAAGGTTTCCTTTACACCGAATACGAATTTACTGCAGCTGTTTAACATTTTCTGCGAGCAGTGCTCGCGTGCTCGCCTATTTTTTCCACTCCTGGTTTTGTAAATGGAAATTTCCAAAATGTCACTCCTATATTTACTTAATCCTGAGTAGCTAGTTATGCTGGTTGCCATGGACCATTAGATATTAACATCGTAGAATATCCCGTTGTTGAATGCATGATATTTATTGTATTAGGTTGAAGTGATGAAGAGTAATGTTGAATCGAGGGTAAATGCATTCAAACAAAATCTTGATAAGTTTGCTGCTCGATGGCATCAGTTAAAACCTAAAGATATTGATATGGAAGGCGATAACGAAGCTTGCGTTAACGCTGTCAAATCTATCAAGGAACGGAGAGCTGAATTTAATGAACTGGAAGAAAGCAAAGAGAAATTAATGTACGTCAGTTATCTGCCTCGTACCCAGGCGCTTTAAATAATTACAATACATGAAGTATTCAGGTAGGCAGGCGACGCGCGAAGGGGCTGTTGGGAAGGGTGTGTGCTGGGGAGCGCCTGGCAGTTCTTGTATACTGTCATGGCGGACAAACATGGAATTTAATACAAAACGTTACCATATCGTCATATACTCTGTGTGTAAAACCTTATTTTCTGACGAAGAGTCGAATTGAACGCCATTGGCAAATAATAATACATTTGTACAAGTTTGATGACATACAAAATGCGCGAAATATGAGTAAATTACATGGCAAGTTAACCGTGCGAATATTTGGAATATGTCATTCGGTATTACATGGAGAATAATAGAATGCTATCAGTATAAAACAGTACAGTAACAGAGAAATGATTAGAAACTCATATAATTGCTTTTGTATTAATAACTTCCTTAGCTGAAGGCTCGATCAGTCGATCATAATGCCAATGGCAATTGCCAATTTCTATTAAATGTATACTGTCAACAAAAGCCGAAGTAAATAAAAGTTCACAGCCGTAAAGTTTGAAATATTTATTACAACAGTGCAATTTTATAGTTTGTACCTTTATATAGTTATAGCTTACAAATATAGTTCCTGCAAGTCTAGTTCTTCAACGCTTCGGTTGTTGACATGTTAATATTGGAATTTCCATGGACTGTAAATAAGGCATATGTCATATATACCACGAATAACAGCATGAATTCACGCCCAGATGACAGAAGAATATTAACATTAGTCAATTCAACAAAAACAAGTAGCAAAAAATCGTAAACGAGAACAAAATATCACAACTTGCAACAAATCGTACAAAGTTGCAAGAAATCGACCAAGAACTGCCAGGCGTCTCGCATTTCAAGTGCACTCTTCCCACCAGCCCCTTCGCCATCTCTCCCCACTACAATACTTCATGTAAACTCATCATATGCGCATCACTGGTTTTTTACAGAGACGCCTGGGTACGAGGCAGCGTCAGTTATGCACATTGCATCTTTTGCAAAATTCATGTCGCCAGTTTTATTTTGTTTGCGTGTATGTCTGTTTGTATACTTGTTTGTGTCCATTAGTAGATAGTCGGGGAATTGACAATTCCTATTATAGACTAATTTTAAAACTAGGCAAAGAGATGCAAATAAATCACCACAGCTAGACCAAATGTGGTAGCAATTTCCGCACGCAATACAAAAGTATACAAAATTTGCGAACTTTGCAAGGGTACATTTTCCGCATTTTACAACATTTCGCAACCAAACTTTGCAATTTTACTAATTTTAGTATGCTCTTTCCGGGAACATACGTTTTTTT